GAATGCTGGCCAATGAGAAAAAGAGAAGAACAACTACTTCACACTGCCAAAATGAGAATGCTCATTGGGTGCTGGGTAAGACGAGAGCGGATAGGCTACACAATGGAATAGTATGAATAATAGTGCTCCCAGAATAGCTGAAGGAGTATCAACTGAGATGACTGGGTCATGTGAAACAATGAGATGTGGGATATATTGGTCAGAGAGTACAAAAGCTAGTAGTCACCGGACAAAGGCCTAGAAAAAAGGTGATTTGAGACACTAAAGACATGAAGGTTGATGGCTGCTTGGAAGATGCACTTGACAAGAATGCTTGGAGGCGAAGAGCAAGAGCCGCCAAACCCAATTGAAGGGTGTGATGCTACATGATTGAAATATGACCATGTATATCATTGATATTGCCACTGTTAGACAATTGCAACAAATCTTGTACAAAGTATATCGTAGAATCATAGAATATCAGGGTTGGAAGGGACCTCAGGAGGTATCTAGTCCAACCCCCTGCTCAAAGCAGGACCAATCCCCAACTAAGTCAAAATCATGTAATGTGTCAATGGAAAAGTTATTTGCTAAAGATGATTATCCTATTTATATGCATGTATCGTTTTGTATCTGAAGTGATGAATATTGGCTATATATCCGTATCACCATTGTGTTTGTTCCTGGGGTAACACCCACAAGGTAATTTACATCCAGTCTAACAGCATACTGTGAATGGACTATTCAAGTTGATGGCCCATCAAAGACACTTTAACTCTCACAGTGGGCCATGGAAGAAACTCATTCCGCCCAGATGGCTCTTCCTGCAGATGCTTTAGCCTCCCAGTGGCCAATGGTTGCCCCTGTGAGTCAGTAAGCCATGTAAAGCATGTGACATGCTCATGTGACCCTAAACTCCATATTGCACCAGTAATTTTCCACAAACTGTGCTGTGGGCTTTTGTTTGGTACAATAAAATTCCAGGCACATGGCAGAGAGTATAAAAGACCCTGTAAACATCTTCATGGTGCCTCTTTTCTGCTCTGATTCTCTGGACTGTGGACTTGCATCTAAAAGGAGCATTGTGATCTATGCACTGAGGAGCTTCCAATCTTTTGGAAGTTACCAGAGACTTTACAAGCCAGCAGTCTGAAACATCACTGCTACAAACCTGATATAAGAACTTTGCAATGATTATATGTGTGGCTGGTCTCTTGGGATCAGAAGAACCCTTTGTTTGATTGATGAAATTGGTTTTCAATAACCACTCATCTTAGAGTCTAGTGTCTGGATGGTGAAATAAGGGTTGTGATGCCTAACGAGACTGCATTTTTGACTTCTTGTTAACCAATGTGGTGAGACAGAAGTTTACTTTTGTTACTGGCTTGGTATAATCTAATGATAGGGCAATCTCACCCTACGCTGTTGGTTAAACTATTTCTCAGCAGTTTGTCCTGAATCTGGCATTCTCGGCTGTTGAACCACTGAGGCACGGTGACAAAGGGATAAGGCAAAGAACATTTCATAAGTGGGAAGCAGCCTAGAAGCTGAAATAGGCACTTTTGGCAGCAATATAACAAAAAATCCTCTTTTGAATTTGAAATGTTGTCAGTGTTGAAATTCTGAGTCAATAAAGCAAAGTAGTTTACTGGTGAGAGAAAATGTAAACTATTTATAAACCTTACAGGGTTCAAAATTAATTGTATTGAGTAAAGAAAAGGGACCTGCACCTCATTACAGACAGCTCAATGAAGAACTTTGCTTAATGTGCAGCTGTAGTCAAACACGATGCTGGGATGCACGAGGAATGGAATGGAGAATAACAGAGAACGTTATAAAGCCTTATATATAAATCAGTGCAGTCGCCTCATCTGGATAGCGTGTGTAGTTTTGGTCAACGCATTGCAAAAAAGATATTGCAGAATGAGAGGATGTTCAGAGAAGAGCACCAAGAAGGGTCAAGGGCCTGGGAATAATTCTGATATGAAGAAAAATTGATAAGATTGGGATTGTTTCAGTAAGGCAATAAATAAGAGGGGACCTGATAAAAGTACATAAAACAATGATTGGTCTGGAGAAGGGAGATTGGGAGCTTCTGTTTTCACTGTCTCCTGACACAAAAACAAGGGGACATTCAATTAGGTTAAAAAGTGCTGAATTCAAAACCAATAGAAAGAAATACTTTTTTACACAACATGTAATTAGACTATGAAATTCATTGTCATGGGAAGTCATTTAGGGCAAGAATTTAGCAAAATTCCAAAAAGGATTGGAAATGTATATGGACATTGAGATGATCTAGAGTTGTTATAATTAATGCTAAAATTCAGATAGTTATTAAAGCTCATGCTTCAGGATTTAAGCCAATCTATCTATTAGAGACCACAGCGAGACCTAATGCAGGGGGCAGATTATTCTACATTTGTCTACTACGGTTTTCTTGCACCTTCCCGTGATGGGCTACTGGATTAGATGGTCCTTGGGTCTGATCCAGTATAGTAATTCCTGCGTTCTTATCATTTGAGACTTCATTTCATACCTATGGCTGTCCGAGTAACAACAAGGCATTTCTAACTATAGTATCACAAATATTTGTGGGTTTTTTAATTGCAGTTTCTAGCCTTAATCAAGCAGTTTCTAGCCTTAATCAAAGGTATTCCATACTAAGTGTGAACAAGATTACGAATGGTAGACTATGTTCAAATGTTCTTAAGTGTACTAATTTGTACCTTTGGCATGCTGTCTTTTATGAAGATTAGTGGAATGGTTTATGACAAGAATTTCCTTTATAGATAGCTGCCATGGGAGTTGCTATTTTAAAGGGAAATTATCCACATTTTTCTCAACTTGCATCTATGAAAAAGGCCATGGTTAGATAAACTGTGTAATGAATTTTTCGAAGTGTTTAATGCTAGTTATTTCATTGAGTGGATTGTTGTGCATAACTTAATTAGTGAAAACCCTTCTATCACCCTTCAGCAGGCCTGAACAGCCAATGCAATTCCAGAGGGGCTTGATGCCAATCCAAGTCTCCTGAACACTCCCATGTAGCTCTGCATTGTATAGCGTGAACAGCACAGATGTTGAGCTCCTGGCTTCCCATTCCAGTGTTTTCCTTAGCTAAGGCTCTCACAAGAAGTGGGTGCCCCTATGTGGTAGAGTGCTGTGAACCAACAGCTAAGCTAGCACTCTGATCACTTAAACACCAATTAATTCGCCTGGGTGGACCTGACTCTCCCTAATTGGCAGATTAGAATGGGCTGGGGAGGATTTAAGAGGTAATTAGCCCATTAGTGCAGAGGGTAGAGGGCTGCACAGGAAGGAAATGCTGGGAGAGAGGCAGGCTAGCGATCTGAGGAGGAACTGATATTGTAAATTCTGTGGTGGATGGATCAGTAAAGGTGGTGGGAGGACAATGTAAGTAAACTAAACGGTGGTGTTTATCAGTTGAAAGTCTCCAAACACTCTGTGTAAACAGAGAAGAAGACAGGAGCAAGACCTTGCCCTGTAACAGCCTAAGAGAGGAGAAACTGAAGAAGACTAAAAGAGAAAAACAAACGTGTAACTTTAGTAGCAAGTCAGTGCATCCTAGACATTCTCTGTTTCAGCCTTATTTGCAAAACCTGAACCATCCTCTGCAATGGACCCTGAAGTAGAACCTCTTCCCCCACTCCAGCTTTTCCACAGCTTCATCTTCTGCTCTTAAGGGATATCTGCCTTAGCAATCCAAGTGACCAAGGGCCACGTGTGCTGAGCTAATGCCAATGCTAAGTATTTTCCTTTCTTCCAGATCTCAAAGCTCTCAGCAAAAGCATGTCAGTGCCAGAGCCTTCCATCACCAACCTCCTTCCCAAAAGCTAGCTGCAACAAAAGCACAAATGTTTGTTTTTAAGGCTCTTTGTTTACCCAGTCAGGGTTAAACTGGCTTCAATCCCTGAGGTTCTGCTGATGTGTCATAACATCGGAAGACACCTGCTTTGAAAGTCCTGGTTCAGAGATCCACCATAACAGGGTTTCCCAAACTCTGGTACACATACCTTGGTGCTGAACTGTGGAGTTTGTAAGTAATCTAATTGCTATGGTAGTTGCTGCTGGGGCACCAAGAGGTACACAGGCAAAGCTGGATTAGCACCAAAAAACCCTGCATTTTCACTGGACTCTCTTGTTCCAGTGTTTTGGATTTTTTTCCTTTAATGATGTAGCCAGAGGGCCAAGTCACTGCAGTAGCCAAATCAGGCTGGAAGGTCAAACGAGCCAACATGAATGAGGGGAAACTGAGGCAGAAACTAGCCCAAAGCCAGACCAGGTTGACAGCACTGCTACGGTGCCTTAGAAAAACCACAGTGAGCACAATGTTTCACCATAGTACTTCCTGTTAGGTTTCTATGAAGCTTTCCTTGACCAGTGCAGACACAGCCTAACCATGTCATAAACTGGTGTACAAAGCTGTTAATTTGGCTGGTTTCTGCACTGTTTATTCCTAAATCTTAAATTACAGACTGTGGGACTGGCCCATTTAGATACCTAGTGATTTTCAGTTTGGAAGAGGGGTCCTTTTCTTCACAGCTACTAGAACAATACTCGTTCTTTATGTTTCCGCCAGGCCTCCCAGTACCCCTGTCGAAAGTTGGATATCTAGTACTTCAGTCCAAACTTCATTACATGATCGTGCAAACCTCTTTTTAGAGTATCAGGACAGATCACTGCTTCTTATTACCACCTCTTTTTAAAAGACTCAGTCTCTAGTTGGTGCACCTAGCAAGTCTGTATAAGCATATGTTCCTGTCACAGTTATCCTCGTTCTTCCGTCCCTAGTCCCTTCGTATGTCTCTCAAACTTGTGGTTGTGTCTTGTCTTTAGTTTGTAAGCTATTTGTGGCTGGGACTGTCTCATACTATGTGTGTGTATATAGCACCTAATACAAGATGACCCTGGTCTGGTTGGGGCATTTGCATGTGACTTCATATAGATATTCATGATAATTTACAGCTGAGCTACTTTTTGCCTTTACAGATGAAGGTGAGGCTTCTCCAGTCCTACGTAATGGACCTGAGTGACCAGAATAGTGTCTTAGTTCAGACGATGGAAGAGCTGGAGAGAGAGTCTGAGTGGAAGGTGGCTACACTAGAGGCAGAGCTTCAGGTACTGTTTGCTGTACATGGATGTACCAAAGAAAGTGTGTGTTGTGCTCTTCGGGGGTCATTACCCTCTGTTTGCAGAGCATTCTGTAAACCTCACTAAAAATGCCTATGGGACTACTTATCTCCTTCTCTTTTACTGCTACAGTATATGTGTGTGTTATGAGAAACTTCCTTTCTAGGCCTGGTCTTTGATGAGTTAATTACAGTGCCTTGGTTGGACCTACTTTTCCTTTTAATCCTCACCCCAATCCTGCTCCAGTTATTTTTCATACTGTATGTGTAACAAAATATGAGAATGGGGTCTGGTTTGGGGGGGGAAGGTTTATGCTTTTAACTATTTTCAACATTTCATATATTTTTGGGGTGTATATGGTCATCCCAGGTTTTCCATGCTAAAATATAAAATGCAGATGACACCAAACTGGGAGAGATTGCAAGCACTTTGGAGGACTAGAATTAGAATTCAAAAAGACTTGACAAATTGGAGAATTGGTCTGAAATCAACAAGATGAAATTCAATAAAGATAAATGCTAAGTACTTAACTTAGGAAGGAAAAATAAAATGCACCACTACAAAATGGGGAATAACTAGCTTGGCGGTAGCAGTGCTTAAAAGGATCTGGGGGTTATAGTGGGGCACAACTTGAATATGAGTCAACAATGTGATGGAGTGGTGAAAAACGCTAATATCATTCTGGGGTGTAATAAGAGGAGTGTTGTATGTAAGACTCAGGAGGTAATTGTCCTGTTCTACTTGGCATTCATGAGGCCTCAGCTGGGCGCTGCACTTTAGGAAGGATGAGGACAAATAGGAGAGAATCCAAAGGAGAGCAACAAAAACGATAAATGGTTTAGAAAACCTGATCTATGAGGAAAGGTTAAAAACAACTGAGGATGTTTGTCTTGAGAAAAGAAGACTGAGTGGGGACCTGATAAGTCTTAAAATGCATTAAAGGCTGTTATAAAGAGGACAGGGATCAGTTGGTCTCCTTGTCCACTAAAGATGGGACAAGCAGTAATGGGCTTAATCCACAGCAAGTGAGACTTGTTAGATATTAGCAAAAACTTTCTAACTGTAAGGATAGTTATATTCTGGAATAGTCTTCTAGGGGTGATTGTGGAATATCCGTCTTTGGAGATTAAGAACAGATTGGACAAACACGTGACAGGGATGGTTTAGGTTTACTTGGCCCTGCCTCAGCGCAGGGGGTGGGATATGATGACCTCTTGAGGTCCTTTCAAGGCCTATATTTTTATTATTTTATGTCTATAAACTCTGTGGTTGCTGACATAGAACAGAGTCTAACCCAGAAGTTGATGACAATATCTCATAGCTATTGGATCAGTGGTAACTTGTCTAACTCAAACCTGTAAGTTAGTGTTACTCAGACTGAGGCTCACGAGTGACAGTGGCTCTTTAATGTGTCTCCTATGGCTCTTTGCAGCACATGATATTAAAACACTGTGTAATTTAATTGTTAACCAATTAGGATGCTTTTATTATGTTATTAACCAATTGTAGTTGATAAAATAATAATACTTGGTCAATCCTTTTGCTGAGAGAATTTTATTTCTATATATATAATATTAAATGAAACAATGGATTCACACTTCTGTGGATCTTTTGGGTAATATTGATCACAAATTTGGCTCCTGAACCACTGAGGTCTAAGTGTCACTGCTTTACGTGATGTTTTTGGGGTCCCTGCAGATTGAGCCTTGGTGATAGGGAGCTGTGAAGAGAGATGAGGTTGGTGGACAGTGCCATCTGTGACTAACTTCTGGTCAAACCTTTTAGCAAGACAGCAGCTGATAGGCGTAGATAGAGAGAAGCAGAATGTAGGCCTTCACAATATGATAGGAAGACTTCATACTTATATAGAGCTTGCACTCCAAGATCTTAAAGTGCTTTCCAAAGTTGGGTCGGTGGAGTTACTGCATTTTACAGATGGGGAAATGTAGGCAAAAAGATTAAATAAATTTTCCAATGTCACACCTTGAGACAATGGCAGAGGCAGGAATAGAACATGGATTAGTTTTAATCACAAGACAAAAGTTGTCTCTCTGTAATGGCCTGAACATATTTGGGATTGATAGCTGGACAAAAGCAATACTAAACCATTTTTTTTTAAACAGTGGGCTGTGAATAGCTAAGATGGGTGTCTTGATGACTAAATAGGCAGATATCATAAGAATGTATGGAAGGGATTAATCTATTTTGGGCTGCCTGCAAGCAAATGAGTGCTGTAGTGAGTAAAGTATTTAGGGATGCAGTTTCATTAGAATCTAGGAATTAAGACTAGCAAAATATTTCTTCATACATTAGAAAAACTAAATACTAGTCAAGAGGTCCCTTTATCGTGTGTATGGCCTTGTAAAGGGATGAGCCACCCTTTGCACTCCCAGATGGCCAGGTGTGGTACTGCAGATATGCCTCGCCATACTTCATCCCAAGTGGTTGTCAGCAAGTGGTGCTTCTCAGATGTGGGCATTGAGAGATCAAACACACTAATTAACATAAGTATGTCTCCATTTAATGAAGCCACATGAAAGGATCATTTGGAAAACAGTTTAAAGGCCCTTACCTCAGAACTCCCCAAAGCAGCAGGGAGCCTCCTTGATTATATGCAAGTGGTTCTTATTGTGGCTCCTAACAAGGTAGTACATTCCTTGCCAGGCCCCATCACAATCATTAATGTATTTATCTGCACAACACCTCTCTGAGGTAGAACAATGCTTTTATAGCTGGGAACTGAGACAAAGGACAAGGACTTGCCAAAGATCACCTGGGGAGTCTGTGGTAGAAGAGGGAATTGAACCCAGATCGCCAAACTAAAAGGCTTATTGCCCTGATCACTGGGCCACTCTTCCTGATAAATTAGTCCAAAGGAACAGTCACAGGACTTTACTCTGAGACTTTTACTGCTCCCTTTGGAAATATTCTGTCATCCCTTTCATAATCTGAGATGGCCTCATTCAGTGGGCATTTCAGTTGCTCATTAATAGTGGCACACAAAGGCTACTAGTTGCATCGGCTCATAGTTATTATCCATTAAGAAAAACAGGAACAATTCTGAGTTTGGTATCATTAAAAGAAGGAATTTCTTTCCCTTTCTGAGTCTGTGTACATTTTTAAATGCTACCTGAAGGAGCAGAATCCTTTGTGCTTGGTGAATCAGATGCATTTACCTTGGCCTGATTTTTAATTATCAGTCCCCAGCCTTCTGGTGAGAGAAGCAAAGGAGTGATCTCTCTCCTGCCATCCATCTCCACCCTCTGACAAACAGAGGCTAGGGACACCATTCCTTACCCATCCTGGTTAATAGCCATTAATGGACTTAACCTCCATGAATTTATCCAGTTCTCTTTTAAACGCTGTTATAGTCCTAGCCTTCACAACCTTCTCAGGCAAGGAGTTCCACAAGTTGACTGTGCGCTGTGTGAAGATGATTTGTTTTGAACCTGCTGCCCATTAATTTCATTTGGTGGCCCCTAGTTCTTGTATTATGGGAATAAGTAAATAACTTTTCCTTATCCACTTTCTCCACATCACTCATGATTTTATATACCTCTATCATATCCCCCCTTAGTCTCCTCTTTTCCAAGATGAAAAGTCCTAGCCTCTTTAATCTCTCCTCATATGGGACCCGTTCCAAACCCCTAATCATTTTAGTTGCCCTTCTCTGAACTTTTTCTAGTGCCAGTATATCTTTTTTGAGATGAGACCACCACATCTGTACGCAGTATTCAAGATGTGGGCGTACCATCGATTTATATAAGGGCAATAATATATTCTCCGTTTTATTCTCTATCCCCCTTTTAATGATTCCTACCATCCTGTTTGCTTTTTTGACCGCTGCTGCACACTGCATGGACGTCTTCAGATGACTCCAAGATCTTTTTCCTGATTCGTTGTAGCTAAATTAGCCCCCATCATATTGTATGTATAGTTGGGGTTATTTTTTCCAATGTGCATTACTTTACATTTATCCACATTAAATTTCATTTGCCATTTTGTTGCCCAATCACTTAGTTTTGTGAGATCTTTTTGAAGTTCTTCACAGTCTTCCTTGGTCTTAACTATCTTGAGCAGTTTAGTATCATCTGCAAACTTTGCCACCTCACTTTTTACCCCTTTCTCCAGATCATTTACAAATAAGTTGAATAGGATTGGTCCTAGGACAGACCCTTGGGGAACACCACTAGTTACCCCTCTCCATTCTGAGAATTTACCATTTATTCCTAACCTTTGTTCCCTGTCTTTTAACCAGTTCTAGTATACTCTTTTGCATTCTCCCCATGCTCTCAGAATGTGGAGATGTTAAACTTTGATAGAATAGTGCAATTTTATATTTTTCAGTCATCTGCTTAAAAGGTTCATTGTTGTTTTTTAATTAAACTGCGAGGGGAAAAGAGGAGATATTAAAAGGTGCAGTGCCGTAAAGGGGATAGGTTTTCACTGTTCCTGCGTGAGCAGAGACACCCCAATAAAGCAAGATGGAGAGCAGCAACAAGTCCTGTGCCTCCCACCCTCCATTGTGGTGACTGTGACAGTAATTGGAGTTAATTTGTGTGGCTTCTCAAATTAAAGACTTCATGTTTTATCGTCCTTATTCTTCCAATCTCTTCTTTCCTATGGTTGAGTGCAGCCTGCACAAGTTGATGTGATAACGAGATGAACCTGTTTAGAGGAGTAAGGCTGGCCCAACTTGTGATTTCCACTCCCCCTCATCATACTGCCTGTAGAATGACTCCCTGTGGTCAGAGCATCTTTCTTTCTTTCTCTCCCCCCCCCCCCCTTTTTTGTTTTTCTGTGAAAACTCAGCTCTTATCTGTTGGGATGGTGACTTTCTTGGCATGTAATCAGTGTTTGTTCCCTTCTTATGTAGATGTTTCACAGCCTTTTTCTTCACCAATGTAAAGTCCATTGTCCATTTAGTTGTTGTGTGTCCAGTTTTCTCCATGCACCCCCAACTACCAAATTCCTCAGGCCAGTGGGGC